ATTTAATAAGCCAAACCGAAAAAAGGACTAACCAAAAGGGAATTTTAACGAACAATGGAAATAGTGAGCAAAGATTTAAGCGTCAAAAATAAGAAAAATATTGCTCAACTAGCAATAAATTGCGAGGACAAAGAAAGGACACGATGAATTATGCCATCACGCTGGGTGATGAAAACTGATGTTATTTTTTATTCGTCCATTTGTGGAAATGTTTGTAAGTAAATTTCTAAACAACTGCTTCGTAAGCCATCTTCCTTTCTCCCAATATTTGGTCTTACTTTTTCCTTACCTTGATGGAATCACTGTCTGATTCTAAGGTGAGGCCAAAATAAAAGAGAGGTCACGTGTCCTGTATCACACCGAAAGTGGTATTGAGCTTTTAATTGAAAAAGGGGAGCATTGATCCACTTTTCTGTATTTACACGATGCCTTGCATTTTGGTCGTCTTTTACTTCTTGAGAATTGCAACCGCCTCAAAACCTCAAAGATTGCCGTGACGGAGAAAAAGTCATCATGGTTGGTCCACAACTATCATATCACTGGTATAACAATAATAAGCTAGGTACTTTAAAGTTGGCTTTACACAACTCATGAAATTAATAAAAAGTGATTCAAATAACAAAATCGTCCAAAAGCACAGAATTTAGTAAGTCCCAATCAAGGGAAGCTGTGTAGTCGTAACATTTATCTTGAGTAATTGAAGATTCTTTGGTTAAGAGCTCGGAGACTCTGGTTACCTTCGAGAATATTTAGCCATTCAAACCAGTTGAATAGTACTAGATGGATGTTAAAGCACCATAACTAAAAGGAAACAGTAATTTCTACGACCGTAGAGAGCAACATCAGGAAGCTTCACTGGTAAGACATGGATTCGGACACCCTCTATATTAAACAGATTATGCCAGTGCAGTAGCTCATTCAGCTCACTAGATGTGCACCGATTTGAAACGAACCCTCAACCTCTGATAGGGAAGATGTGTGGGATATCCAATACACCATTGACGTAAAATCTTATTGAAAGTTAAAGGTAGCAAAACCGGATATTTTTGAAGTACTTGAATAGAATTCGCAGTCTTGATACTTCCTGCTTGGATTGCTACACTCCACTATGATCACTAACCAACCGGACAACCAAGTAGGCGACACAATCAGCGGTATAGTTTTAATAAAATGGGATCGTTAAAGTACCGGGGTTTTCGGGTGAGCGGTTAGTTGGTATCAAAAAATAGTTTCATGGAGTGGAATTTTTCGTTTAACCACCCTAGGCGGATTTTCGGAAAACCCCGGAACTGCTGTCTTCTTGCATGAGCAATTCACATCCGACGTGGCTTCATAGGGGCATTTCAGTCCCATCAGATTGGATCAATTGTCTAGACACGGGGTGTGCGATAGACTAACCTCCACGTGGTGCACCCTGGGCAACGTATACTCACGATAGACTTACCTCCAGGTGGTGCACCCTGGACAACGTATACTCAAACGGCACGTGGTGCACCCTGGGCAACGTATACTCATACGGCTCCACGTGGTGCACCCTGGGCAACGTTTACTCATACGGCTCCACGTGGTGCACCCTGGGCAACGTATACTCATAAGGCACCACGTGGTGCACCCTGGGCAACGTGTACTCATACGGCAAGTAAGTCTATCACGTGGTGCACCCTGGGCAACGTATACTCATACGGCAAACAAACGTGGTGCACCCTGGGCAACGTATACTCATACGGCAAAAGTCTATAAACCGCTGGGCAACGTATACTCATACGGCAAAAAAGTCTATTAACTAGTGAGATGGGTGTGCGATAGACTTACCTCCACGTGGTGCACTAGCAGTTGACTTCTGACCCCACTGTATGTCATATTCGACTATTTCCACAGTACTCACATCACATTTTTTTCTAACTTTTCTACCTTCGTCTTTGAAACACTTTTCTGTCCCCCACCCCTCTCAACTTTTTTTTCCACTTTGATGTTCCTTCCCCTCTGTGAAGACTGAAGTCAACTAAAGGGCTAATGATAACCATCAAGACGCCTGCCATTTAATATAAATAAATTACCTAGACATCAGTATGCTAGACCATTTAGGTCACGATTTCAATAACAAAGAATATTCCCCACAAAAGTAGCAAAATTCAAAGCAATAAAGTGCATAAATTTCTGTCTTCTGATAATATCTGACGTACATTTGGATATTTGCGTTAGGAAGTAGGCATTCGCGCATTATATTAGCCATAAATAGGGGGGGTAAATAATAAAAAAATACTTGGCTGCAAAAAAAAACATTGCTCTCCAAATGAAATTAAACAGAATTAAAAAAACTTATATAGTTTTAACCTTATATTTTTTAGGTAACAAGAAAAATGGATCAGACAAAACGCCAAATCTATTGCAAATCACCATGGAAACTAGGGAACTCCACACACACACACACACACATGATTGACCGTCAAAACAGTCAAATGGCATTGGAAACGAAAGAAAAAAAACGAACGATTCTTACACAAGATGTGCTTTGAACTGCACACGTAAAGTGTGTGTGAAGAGATCAGGGAGCTACCAAATGAAAGCAGCAGCTACTGCTGCAGTTTATCAGAAAGGGGAGGAAAGAAAACTGGGAAAAAGCACACCAAAGCAAACCGAGTAAACATACCACCACCACCACTTGACGAGCCAACTAAAATGACAAAGGGTGAAATCGCAGTGTTAAGCTAAGAAGGCCCTTGAAGCAGTCCATAACACTTATACCAAGGTTATATGCGCCAGGATGCTCACAGCTTCCAGTGCCTAGTCGAATAGAATATAATTTCAAAAAGCCGAAATTTGACCTCAACCTAAAAATGAAGTGGAGCTGATTCCCATTAGGGGGAATCAAGTGATTAATTCCCCATTCTTTCCGACTGAATAGGCAAAGCATATATTTTACAATACAAATTGTGCCACGTAGGTTGGGATTTCTGAAGTGGGCTTCGAAACATCCAAAATGTCCTCTCCCATTTACGTAATTTGTTCCAATTTCTTTTCCCTGAGCTCTACACAGCAAAAAAATATCTCTTTGCTCATTACATTTGGAGTTTGAAGCTGGCAGTTTTTATTCCATAACAAAACAGACAACATTCTGGGGCCGTGGTTTCTTCACTCAGAGCATCAGTACGTCACACCGAAGTCTAGCCACCTCCATCATGGATTTAATTGTACTACCTCTGATTTATCCCATTTCTTATGCTTTACGTAATTACTCTCTGTGAGAGACGACGTTAAGTTCTCGGAAGTTAGAAACCATTAAGTGGAGATATCACTGATTGAGAAAGGTTTCAATGCCATCTCTGTGCTATTCTATACATATTTAAAACGCTTCATTTATTCCTTCCACCACGCGAAGCTGATGCACTTTCTTCGCGCTATATCCATTACGCAATGTTCTAATAGTATACCACAATAAATGGTGAAAAAATTAAACATCCACGAGTATACATTAAGAAGATTAGAAGAAATGGACAGAAAATTAGCACCTTTCCCATAAGTGAAAGACTAGCAGCAAAGGAGCCATCAATGCTGCAGATAACCACACTGCAATTTGGTGGAACAACAGCTAGAGTGAGTTCTACACCCTGATCCTCGGAGTCACTCATCACAGTAGGAAGGAGCTGAAAACGGTGAAGTCCCACGGGTAATCGCTGTACATCGGGAATATGGAAGGAGAGCCGACCGTTTGAATCCGTCAACTGGGTGCCTAAG